CTTAATTTTCCTCTGTCCTGCTAAAGCTACCCAGTCAACACACATTCAATTATCAACAATCCATCTAATTAAAACTTCTTTTTTTTTTTAAAGGCATACAATCACAACATTTAGACATTTTTACAGAAAATTATCGAAAATAAATTATCTAATCAGGATGAGAAAACTATAAACAATTACATAATTCTTTGTTACAATAACAGGGCAATTTATTTAAAAAAATGAAAAAACTATTGACATTAAAATATAAGGCTTTGAAATAACTACAGTTTTTTTTGCAAGCAAAAAGCAAGTTCCATTGGCCCAACTGAGCCATTTAAAAAAAATAAAAAAACTAGTGTTTAGCTTTGTATAAGTCTAAAATTCCAGTCATAGTGGTATTAAAAGGGTGTTCAAAGTCTCAAATTTGACTTGAAACCTGCAGAAACCCTGGAGGTAGCAAAACTACAGAGCTTCAGCCCTCCAGGATTTAAGTCTGAGACCTATGCTTTAAAACAACTTGAGTGTGAGGAAATTCTTTCATGCTTAATTCATTTTCATGCTTTATTAGGTAATAGCTGAGAACATTTACTTTAAAAAATAAATATTTAACACTATAAAATGATTAAAAAGATTCAACATTCCTTGTGGAAGCAGGGCTTAACATTTAATTTTTGTCTGCTTGAACATTACTGCTTGCACTGCTTTTTTGGAGGGACAAATTAAAAAATATTTAATTGGCCAAGCAAGTAACTTTCTAAAAAAAAAATGATATAGCCTTTATTATATAGTCACAGACTAAACTAGGTCAGTGATTGGAAGCAAACTTGATCAATGACAATTTGATTGTATTTTTATTTTTCCTTGGGCAGAGGCTGTTAAGCACATCATTTTAATTTCCTAAAAAGCATCGTGTCTCAAACCCTGTCAAGCACCGGGTAAAGCATCAAATGCAAAAAAGGAACACAGAGTCTAACACAAATTTTAAAAAAGGAAATTGATTAATTCCTGCAGGGATGAGTTTGCCTGGGTGCACTATGAGAAGGATGGAATGATACTTTGCATGGTATTGGATTTATTGCATTTAATTTGGCCAAAAAAAAACGTTTTTTTGGAAGCGTTTAGGGCGTCGCACTCCGGATGTGCCGCTCAGCGCCGCGACACGGCACGCACATGACAGCTGGAAGTATCAGACACCAGACTCTCACATTTGCATGTTATTTAAAATGAAACTATTCTATGCAGAAAAATGAACAGTGTCCTGAGTCATGGCTGGGTGCCACGGACTTCCACTAACTTGTGGCGCCAGCATGTGTACCCTGATAGAAACCGATGTTTGGAATTCTAAAATGCGTTGCGCGTCCTCAAGCGGCACTTCTGGTGTGAGACCCCTGTAGAGTTAGTGTAGCTAAAATATCTTATACTTTTTATAATAAAATTGATCTATTTTAATATTAATTTAGTATATTCTGTCATTTTACGCTTTAGAAATGTAAAATGGAATTCCATTGGTAACTATATATATATATATATATATATATATATATATATATATATATATATATATATATATATATAGTGTATATATATAGTATAGAGAGAGAGAGAGAGAGAGACGAAGAGCGTGAAATGCAGACGTACTGGAGTAAATGTAATGTGTGCACTAACTGGCATAATACTATTGTACATTACTAACATCGACCTGTGTTTTGTGTATCTACAGTAAATCATCGTTTTTTTCGACTTTTTTGTTTTTACTTTTTCCCTGTTGGCCCCCACACAAGTATACTTAACAGAGCCCTGAGAAGGCGAGTTTCAAAGACTTTCACAATTATATGAATTTTAAAGTAAAATATTTCTAATCTCAATATATAAATGTAAGATATAATCATTTGTTCATCATTTGACTTTGGCATGTGATTTTGTATTATTGTTGTCTAATTAAATTAAGAAATGAAATGGTTGGTTAAAAACAACATGCTCTTACACTGTATTAAACTGCACTGTATCTAGTGCATATTCAGACTGAATGGTTATTTGCTTTCACTAATGTGCATCTATGGACTGCAGTTATTGATTGTGCTGCAGGATGTTCATATAATAAAGACCGTTCTCTGTACTTGGAGTCTTGTGCTCTACTAATGGGCTTTTGCTCAGTCATTGCTAACATCCTAAAGGGTCTTTGGTTAAACACTCTTGACCTAATAACACTTCATACAGAAATGTGCGGTGAGAACAATTAAGGACTCATCCTGTGAAAAGACCCCAGAACTGCCCAATAACTCCATGTGACATTCAGAACGATGACGGATCATGTGTAAGGTCTTTTGTTAAAATACTTTGGAAGTTTTTAGCATAATTTATTATCTTTATCACTCCGTAGATTCTGAATTAACTAAAAAAAGTTTAAGAATTGTGCTGTTTAATTTTAGCTTTGCATCTCTCTTTATTTTTCTAGATAAAGTCTTGTTTGTTTTGCAAACGTCAATATAGGATTTCATGTTGATATGTGGCTCGAGCCTGCAAAGTTCAGAATGGTGGCACTTCACAAAGGGGGCAAAAACATACAATTTCCATCAATAATGGAAAGATGAATCCTTTTTACATTGAAAGATAAGCGCGTTTGTATGTTGTATAGTAAAATCACAGCACAGGAGTCATTTTACTGCAGACATCAGCCTTCCTCTGACTGGCTGTTTCTCATTACAAGCCAAACAGCAGAGAACTCGTGGACAGTGGCTATTCAGTCACTTAACAGTGAGTGAGTAACTGCATTTTCAGCACTTTTACCTTGTATATTGATGATCATAAATAAGTGTGTTATTGTTAAACCAATAATGCCTGGTTTTATACTTCTGCATTGAGTGACCCATGGCAAGGGCCAGACAGAATTGGACAGAATTTTTGTTATTTTGCTGAAAAATTTGTAGAAAATCTGTGGATTAAGCAGAATTATTTTGGGAGTATCGTAACTAAAAACTTATTATATGAAATAAAAATAATAGTTTTTTTAACTTTTACTGTGTACAATGCAATTCCATCTAGATCCACTTATTTTGTAAACAAAGCACATCTCTCATTTAATATATGAACAAAGACAGAAAATATTACTTTACAGACTGTATTGTAAATAAATCAAATGAACACTTATGTTAGTCAATAATATCACTGAAATTAATTCAAAAACAGAATAAATATAAATTTACAAACATTTACACAAGTAAATAAATAAACTCGATTATGGGCTAAACATCTGCGGTTTTCTTCAAAGATTCCGTGTGGGCCTACCCATGATGCATACCTTGCGTGTAGTTGTGCATTTATACTTCTACGTGCTGTTTGTGTTGCTCTGCAATAGCACTTCCGTTTTTCTATGTTCCCCTGTATCGAGTTTCTTTGAGGGTGTTTTGTTTTTTCTAAACTCTACCTTAATGTACAAGTAGCTAAGACTTGCTCATTTAGAGGCGGGACCCGGCAGACTTACAACAACTTTAATAAGGTAAACACCAAACAAAAATTTCCATCTAAAGCTACGGGACTCGACACTTGTTAACACTTGCTCCATGAGGCTCTCAGCACCGCCCACTTGTCACAGAGTTTGCGATATGCGTCGTTGTAAGTGATGTGTTGTTACATTTTTTATATTAGTTAATTTATAAAATGCTAATGTAGTACCTGCAGAAGTATTATTATTAACAGTGGCAGACTTACAGTGATGTCAGTGGCATTTCTAGCTTGAATGGCACCCTGGGCGAACCACTCCATACGGTGCCCTCCACCACTTACCCCGTTTTTCTTTGCATGCATCACTTTAAAAGTTGAACCAGATCATTTCACATAATAATATTCAATATGCTAAATGAAAGGTCTAAAGTTGGAAATGCATTTTCTGCTTTTTTTCTGTCAGGGATCATGAGCTTTAAAAGATTGGTGACCGCTGATTTAGAGTGAGCAGTCTGGTAATCTGCTGGTTGGTTTAATCCAGAATGGAAGACAAACACATAGCACTCATTTTTCTTTTACCATGCCTAGTTCCCAAGAACTTCAATCCTTTTTTACCAAACTGGTCAGGTCAGAAGAGCTTAGAGTCTTTGTACGTAATTCCTTGCAGTTGTGTCAAGAGCTGCCAGTGAAAACAGGTTTAACAGGTAATTTCTATGAAGAATGTGGGGATGCCACAATGACACTTTGCTACAGCTGAGTGTGCCAAACTGAAGACCTACATCACTACTGTTTGCACTACTAATACCAGTAGTGGTGTAGGAACCGGATGGAGTTGCCACTTGTCATATGTTTTGATTTGTTGCCCAGGACTTGCCAGTAAAACCTTATTTTGTGTGATTTAAAAAAGATTTTAATGTCAGTGGTGTATTGCATCAGAACAGTGGACTGAAAGCATTCAAGAACTTAACCAAAGCTGTTCTGGTTGTGCCTTTTTCTTTTGAAGGAAGAAAATCAAAATGATCTTATTACTGCCATACCCTCATGTCAATCATCATTGTTTTCACTTTGACTACTCGTACATTTTTGCTACATAAAACTTGGCACTTATTTTAACTTGATAATTGAAAGTAGATGTTAAAACTCACTACAGTGTCATTAGTAAAATAGGCCACATCTGATCCAAATGTGGCAAAAAAACTGAAAGCATGTCTGTCCTGTTTAGATATTGTCTTTTTAAATTATTGTTTTGAATTTTGAGAGCCTTTGTTGCTTTCTGTAGATTTCTGCAGTCATGTCAGTAGTGATACTAAGTCCAATGGTGCCTGTGGTTATGCTTTAGTCTCTTGTCTTCATATTTGTCCACACTGAGGCTGACGTTTTAGGTTTACTGCTGCAGTAAAACCACAAGCCACTATGCAGGTACAATGCTTTCTTTCGTACAGACCTTTTTACTGGTGTTTTGGTGAACAATAAGCTTGTGATGCAATGTCATTTTTGTATTAATAATGCTTTGTGAATGGAAAGAAAGTAGATTTGCTGATCTTCATAAACCAATTTACTTGATGTTACTCTTACAGGTGTTCGAGTGCTTGTGGATGCCAGAGAAAAGCTACATATCCCATGGGGAAACCCTTCAAACCAGACACATGCAGACATCATGATGGCTTTTGACACACGGTCGACCATGGTGTCGCAAGGGATGTTGGAGACCAAATTGTTCCTGCAGTACCTGCCCTCAATCCGTGCCCTCTGGGCCGACATCGGCATACAGCACGCATATGACCGGCGTAGAGAGTTTCAGCTGGTAAGTTCTCTGAGATATATGTTTTCTGCTATATCAATAGTTTTTTTTGTGTAAAATTAAGTATTTAGCGGGACATGAGATTGTTGCAATTGTTGTCTGTCACTGACTGCTTATGTCAACAGAAATGTTATTTGCTAACGTTTTTACGGTTTACTTTTTTTTCCCCTTTTTATTGTGCACAAGTTCTCCAGAGATCCATTATTTTTCGGTTACGAAAGTGTTTTTAAAGCTTTTATATTTATTTATTATTTTTTTAAATATCTGCAGCATCTGACCATCATCTAATTACAAAGATTTCATTCCAATCTGCCACATTGTGACATGTACAAAGAGGTGTTTTCCCCCATTAAAGAGTTTTATAATGTTGTATTATGAAGTAGGGTTGTATAATATGACAAAAAATAGACATTTAAACAGAAACTCTCTTTCTTGTTATTTTGTTCAAATTAATATAAATTTTCACAACCCAGTAGTCACTCATTCTGGGTAAAGCAATCACCAACAGACTAATCTTGGGTGGCAATTCATGTAAAAATAGATATGGGACACCAGTTGAGTCTAAACTTTGGATTGGTCGTAATAATCCCACAGTGCTTTGATAAGGAGGTGGAACTCTCATTCCTCTCTCCTTTGTGCTTGTGAATGTACTTTTTAACATATTGGAGTCCAGGTTGCAGTGACCTGCTATCCACTTTAGCGAGTCTGTGGGTTGTTTTGCCATTTGTAATGTCTTGTGGTGGAAAAAAAAACACTTTTTGATGTTTTTAGACAATAGTAATTTTTAGCTCAAGCTGAAAGTTGTGTGTATGTCTCGCATTTTTTATCCATCTGCTTCTGAGAACTTTCCTGCCTTTTGGGTTATCAGAGGAAGATGACAGATTAATATTTCTGCTTTACTATTCATATTTAATAAGTTTGGTTTTGTAATTTTTTATTTTCTCCAATAAATCTCAAACTATCCATCGTTAACCCCTGAATTAACAAGTGCCATCTTAGGCACTTCAGCCTTCTCTAAATGCTCTCAGTTCCTAATGCAGTACTTCCCCATTTTTAAAGTGTTGATTTCACTAGAGGTCTTTACACACAGTAACCGATTGGGTGATTGGAGTTCACAAGAATGAAATGTTGCAGATATAGACTGATCCACATGTCAGAGGCCCATTGTATTGCTGCCACTATCACTTTTGCAGTTATACAGATAATTTAATTCTATTAGAGAAAAGACACTACGATATAGGTCTGGACAGAAATTCAATATAAATTGCAATAGGATTTTATTTATTTATTTATTTATTTAGCTAACGGTAATAGTTGTAAGGACATTTCCAGTATTCCAATAGAAATGATATCTTTTGACTGCAATTACCCTTCACTTCTTAACCCTGGTTAAAGCAGTCAATTTGTTATTTCAGTTTAAGAATAATTTGTTTTAGTTTAAAGGTAAAGAAAAGATGAGTTTTATTTTTGTTTGGTGTTGTGTATGTGTTTATTTCACATTTCTTGTTTTTATGAAGGCTAAGCACAAATACTGTAAAAGGCCATTAATTTATTGTACAGTTATTATTTCTAAACTATTATATTGTTTTATAGGAGGATGTTTCATAGACTTGGAAAATTAGTTTTTGAGATTTTGAATGAATGGGAGTTCTTGCTAGTTTTATCTTAAGGCTTTTTAAATATTATGTTAATTTTAAAATGGTATTGTATTAGCTGAAATGAAGAAATCTATTGTGATATAAAACATGGCCATATTGTCCAGCCCTACTACAATATAAAACTGAACATGTTTGCAATATATTAGTGGTTTAATAAAAGTGTGTTTTTGTGTGCCTGCTATTATCACACCCTCTGAAAGACTTTTCATCAGTGTCATGTCAACATGCATCTCTGAGTGGATATGCAGAATTTTATAAATGTTTTAGTCCAAAAACCTGTAATGCTTTGTTCACACCAAATGCAGAACACACGTCAAGCGCGAGTGATTTACATGTTGAGTCAATGCAAACACGCAAATAGATATCCTTTGGCGCGATACGGACGAATGGCGCTATATGCGCAAATTGATCGAGTTTTAAAAATCTGAACTTTAATAAACATTTGCACTGCGTTAACCAATTGGGAGCTTGCTCTTGTAGGAGCGCAATTATGATGTAGTGCCTGTTGTTGGTGTCCTGGGAGAAATCCTCCAACCGACTCAGACAACTGTTCATAAAACTGGGCTAGGCTTAGTCAGAAGCAACAAAAAAAGCAACTCCACTCTGTTTCAAGCGTGTTTGTTTGTTTGTTTGTTTGTTTTTAATGTTCTTGATGTTTTCAGGTTGATAAAGCTATGCCAGTGTACCAAAGTGGTGGTGATATATATATTTTTTATTTGTTTACATCATTAAAAATGTCTGATTGGTATTATTACTAGTAAAACAGGGCTGTTCTCTTTCACATATTGGTTATAACATTATTTAAAATATCATATCACATATCAAATGTCATGTTATTTAGCATTCCACAACAATTTTCCTTAATATTGCAAGTCCTAGTGACCATGGCACCTGGTGTAGCTGTATTATTGGCATTTTTTAGTCATCACTAGGGTCATGTCCAGATTTGGGGGGAATAAAGGTGGTCTTTGACCATTTTCAGTGATCCTCTTTGCAGGGGCATGTTGGGACTTAAGCAGTGCAGTGGATGCATGCTGGTTAGGACAAGAATCAACATGACACCGAGTCAGTTACTGCTGCCCTGATCAATGGTGCTGATAACAGAGCAGATCCGCTCTTCACCAAGCTCACAAACCTTCATTTCCACTGAGCCAAGGCTGGTTAAACTCAAATTCATCCATCATTTTTTAAGTTTACATACAGGTTGGCTGTTAAGTTGACAGCCTCTTCTCTCAACTGTGCCACAAGCTGTGGTAATTTTTGCATTCTGCCTAAGTCAAGGCAACAAAACAAAACACTTTTGTGCCATGTAATCCACAAACCACGTGTGTCGAGTGCAAAACATTATCAGGCTTCCTGCTTTCACAACTCTGTCCCTCCAGCCTCTGGGGGTTATGGTATGCACTCGACATGCAACAAAACAAAACTTGTTCTGGATTCCTGCTGCCAAGATCCCTAGCTCCTCCTCGCTCCACCCCTCCTCTTATTTCTGAGCATTGCATAATCCTAATCCATTGCTTTAGTCTTCGCCGTTCTGCTCTCACAACCCCCATAAATGGCACTGTGACTTGCCTTCTTTTGTTTGTCTTTTTAATGTCTAAAAAGCAGCACACACTTTATAACTGTCAAATTCAGTTTGCTAAAACAATATAAAGTTTGTTTATAGCATGTGAATATCTGTGTGAGTCAGTGAATTTCATTTCAACTCCACTTACGAAAGGATAAATTTAATGTTGGTGATCCTTGTGAAACCGTCTCCCTCCCTGCATTATGAACAAATCTTCAGAACTGGTCGTCTCAGCTGCAGTTTCTGCAGGATCTGGGATGTCTGCCGATAGAAGCCACCGGAATAGATGTTTAGATAGGAGGTATCTACCCAAGTGCCATCTATGCTTGTCCCCACCCCAAAGCATTGATTGCTGTGCTCTGCCATATACAAAAGTCAACATTCAAAGTAAATCAAAAATGTTTTTCAAAATTGTCCTACGAATAGGTGCTGTTCAATTGTTTTAAGAGAACTTTGATGAAAGTTGATGATCCACTTAAAATGTTTACTACTATATATTAAGTTCAGTACTTTGGTTTTAGGGTCACAGTTTGATATGGGTTTGGTACAAGGAATATGCAACATATCCCCAGTGCTTTGCTTTTTTCTGTTTATTTTGAACAGGCAAGCGTTTAATTATAATCCCCTACAGAGCAGAAAAGCTTCCTGTGATATGAAAGTACAAAATAAATAGAATAATGAATAGATTGAAAAATTAATCAACAGAGAAAAACAACAATTACATATATAATTATAGCAACTTATAAATCATTAGGAGACTGTATTAATTTCAAATGTTAAGCTCACCCTCTCCTAAGAAAAACATAAAAATATTAGTTGTGCATTAAAATTAAGGTTTAATAAGCTTTATAACTTAAATTTATTTTCCTGAAAATGCTAGTGCGGGAATGCACCAGTAAGTTCAGCGGACAGTTTGTGATTAATCACCGCTCTTCTGTGATTGTATTAGGGGCCACACTAGCTCACAAGATGGGACAATGATAGAATGGCTGATAGTTGTTTAGCAATGACAGTGACATGACATGAGCATGAGCTCAGAAGGGCGTTAAAATTGCTGGAGGAATTAGCGCACCTAATGTTTTCAATGGAATTTTGGATGTGATATGTAAACAAGCCTTTAAAAGCCATCTCAAGTTAAAGGAATTTCACCTTTTACATGCAGCAGTGCTTATCAATGTCAGTTTAAAAGCAGTGGACCAATCAGAAGAACTCGTAGGCGGGGCAATCGTTGCACACTACTGCTTGCATTATGACAGCAATTAGAGACTTTTTTAAAACGTTCCTTCCCAGCTTGTTAAATGCAAAGATGCATTCTGTGCAAATGGCTCATAAGGTTGTTGCTCTGCTGTGGTCTTTTTCTGCCTAATTCATGGGACTGGCCTATCTAGACTTTCAGAAGTACATACTGAACCATGACACCTGTATCGTGACAGTTCATATAAACATGTACTGTTACGCCTCTAATATATAAACAATTTATTTTCCCACAGTGCTTTTGATAAATCAGCATTGTAGCTTTGCTGGAGGGAGAGCACTATCAGGCCTGTGGTCTCAGGCTTACACGTCTTCCCCCTTCCCTTCACCCTAGCCTAAGATTAACAGGATCTGGATGAAGGATTGTGTGATCCATAAAAGAATGTTGAGCTGTGAATTAAATGATAAATCTTGTGCACTCCTGCAAATATGAGGCCCTGGAAAAGAGATTTTTCTAACCCTCACTTTTTGCTCGTATTTATTACAGATAACCATTGAGCTGTTTTATTAATCGCTATGTCTGCCAAATATCAAGCCTCCCAATGTGGGTGACTTCTGTGTATGTTAATTAACTTGCACTATTTCTTAAAGCTACTAATTCATTATCAGCTATTTACTGTAAAATGTGGTCCTGGATGTGGAAATTGTGGAATGTGGAAATTTCCAAATTAAGACTGAAACTGAGAATTTAGTTAGTTGTTTAAATAGTATGCATTTACAAGTAAACTGAAATGATTAGAAAAGTCTTATTTTTCCTATTTGCTTTATTTACAGATAATGACAATCCAAAAATAAAGTTAATGTAAACGAACCATCCACAATTATTATTAAATATAAATGTGTTGTATTACCCCTTGATTCACAATACATCTTTTTAGTTTTTAAGTTTACAGGAATTAAATGTCTAGCCTAACAGTTGTGGTGTGTGGAATATTCAATTTTTCTGATCATAAACTCTTCATTTAATCTGCAAAATACATTATTAATATTTAGACATTTTGTAAAAGACTTTAAATAATTTTTTTTATTATAAGAACCACAATAAATATTGCAGGGCTCGAAATTGCGACCGTTTTGGTTGCATATGCGGCCAAAATTTTATGCATGCTAACTCGAAATATGTTTGGGAGCATTTGTGCGAGTGCATAAAATTGATGTCATGCGACCAGTTTTCACAGCAAAAAGTTTACCACATGCATGGATTTAGGAGGCATTTATGCATCTTTGCACCTAAAATCACCAAACGCAGCACTCAGGAATGGTTTAAAACAGTTGACATGTCAACTTGCTGCAGTAAACAAAGCCTGCAATGCCTACCTTCAAGCTCTTCTTATTGGCCCACTGTGCTAGATCAGAACGCAAATGTATTGGTTAATATCAGCTGTCAATCACTCTGTTCCGATGACAGGATGCTACAGCTGCGAAAATGTAAAGGTCTGGATATGAGAGAATGAAAACAACACTGACGAATTTAGTTTTAGAAATCACCTAAAGTTGCATAAATGGCACATCTGATTAGTGATCATGTTCTGCATGTCAATCCAGCATTTACACTTTTCGAAGAGTGATTCAAAGACTTTAAATGACTAAAGCATTCACTGTAAAGATAGTAGGACGGAGTTTTTAGGTAACGTTAACAGTGTTTGCCACTGAATCTACACATTTTAAGCACAAAATGTTCTAACGTTTTTTAATCTTTCATTTATTTGTGTGACTGACAACACGTTCACCATTGCTAAAGAGCATGCATTCACTGAGATGAAAGTAATATTGCAGCTCATGAAAAGACCATTACTGCTATTAAGAAGACGTATGCAAATAATAAGTTATATGTAGGGCCAGACGGAATCTGTGGACGTTTTTTTGCTATTTCTGCGGAGAATTTTGCTAAAAATCTGCAGATTTCTGCGGAATTATTTTGGGAGTATCATAACTTAAATCATAATATGCAAAATAACAAATAATACCTTTTTAACTTTTATTACATGTTTAAAATGCAAATCCAATCAGATGCACTTTATTTGGTAAACAAAACAAGTCTCTCATTTTAGTTATTTAATTAAATGTAATTTAATTTAATGTAATATAAATGTAATTTATTTAACATTTTCATATTAGTCAATAATATTACTGTAATTAATTTAAAAACTGAATAAATATAGATTTACACGCGTTTACTCAAGTAAATAAACATAATTAATGATGGGCTAAAAGTCTGCAGAAAATCTGCGGAATTCTGCGCGCGCAGATTCCGTGTGGGGCTAGTTATATGTCAATATCATCTGTGAAATATCAGACAGCACCCGTGAGAACAGCACGGTTATTATTGTTAATTCAGTTCATCTCATTTACGTCAAGCAGTGCGTGCAGGGCCGGTGAGCACATGCAGATTTTTGTTCATTTGTTAGTTTTGTTTAGTGTTCATTTCAAATGCAATAAATCTGTTAATATAAAACGTGTAGTAACTGCTCATAATTTTTAGTAGGTATGACTAAATTTTGTCTGGTGTGCCTAAATTTTTTAAGTTAGGAGCACCGGTTCATTTCGAGCCCTGTATTATGCATGTATGCATATATTTAAAACCTATGAAATACAGTGAACAACAGTAGGCTGAGCTTTAGGTGTTGCTGAGTTAACAGGACTTCCTTTTTAGCGTTGCTTCGAAACTGATATCCTGGCCTGCCCTGAGCATGTTGTTCCTTTATGCCCACACCCTTCATTGAAGATGAACAGCACAGTGTGGCTGTGGCTTCATGCCCTGCTGGGGGAGGGTTTCCAGGGGGTTTCTCATGACATAATCCCCTCCCTATTAAAAGCCACCTCAAAAGACCTGCCTGTACCTCTTGTAGACCTCAGCTAACCCAATGATGCTGACGTGTTTCCAAAGGGTATTTTAGGTTAGAAATCAAGATTTTCTCTTTCCGACTTCACCCACTGAGTTTTGCTTTACAGCTTCATCTTGCTCTGAGAAAGATGAGCATGATGCTGGGAACGGAGCGGAAAAGACCCCCTTCCTGCTGTCCTGTCAGCTTGCCAAACTGTTGAAATTGCAAGAGGCTAATTGGTCCGTTATACATCCGAGCGTCACGGAACATTAACTTAAAGCCTGTTGCTGTTTCCTGGGCAGCTTGTTCCTGTTACTCAAGATTTTCATTTTCCAAACCAGAGCATGCCTTGGTGTGTTCTTTCGAAGTTAGGCTTGTCCTTATTCTAGTGTCTCGTGTTCGTTGGTGGCGTGTGTGCACCAATAAAAGCAGCTGTTGCAAGTTCAGGAATAAAGCAGGAGGTGTTGTGTCTCCAGTCCTACTACTGAGTCACCAGTATGAACTCTCGGAAATGCTGAGTTCCCCCAATGGGGAGAATAAGATGCTGTTTACTTTTGGAAAACTGTCTGTCTATGATCACTGATATCCTGTCAGAGGCTTTTCATGACTCACTTCCGTCAGTTCTCATGTTAACGAGGCCCTCATTTCTTTAAATGCTTACCTCTACACTTTTTGCATGTCAGGTTTATTTCAGAACATTTCACTGTAATAACCCTGTGTATGTGAGCACATGCTTTGCTGGTGTGTACAGGCCCAGATACATCTAATCATGAAACATGGAATCTGAATTGATTGATTGTGTTTTTTTTTTTTTTTTTTTTACTGTGCTTTGATAAACTGACCTATTCTTTCTGTTGTGTGTCATTCTCACAGGGAGAATCTGTGAAGTATTTCTTGGACAACTTGGACAAACTCGGAGCACCGGTAAGCATGTTATCATTCTGTCTCTGCTGGGGTTTCTCGCCTCACATGTTCTTCGGAGACTTAATAGTTATGCTTAGTAGCATTTCTAAATCCACTCTTTGAGGGGAAAAACAACATTTTAAAATGTTATTCAAAGTTAGCAACTTTTTATATTCAGATAGGAGGTCATGCAGTCTTCTGTTGCCAACATGGTATAAATTTGCAGGTAAGAATTCAACAAATTAGAGTTTTGTTAGGCATACATTCCATGTGTAGGTCTGAAAATTGATGATAAAGATTGTTCATGACAGTGATCTCACTTTTACGCATTTATTGTAGTTTCAGAATAGTTGGCTATTGTCTTGCGTAGTGGTTGAAGGGATGGTTCACTCCAATACAGTGGTTGTCTTATTTTACTGGTCTTGATGTTGGTCCAAATTTGACTTGCCTATTATCAAAAACCTTAGAAGCACAAAACGGTACTTTTTATAAACATTTATCATAATTTCTCATGAGAAACCCTATAAAGAAAACTTCAGATATGTACTTATGAGACTGATGTGTTCCATTTTTAAACGATGAATTAAGGGTGAGTTCACCCAGAAATTAAAATTGTCATCGCCTTTAGGGCTGGGTGATACGGCAAAAATGCAGTCTCAATTAATTAGTTTCCATATTGAATAATAGCAATATACATTTCAAAATCAGTTGTTGATGCTTCCAAATTGAAAAGAGTATCCCAACAATGACTGAAACTACAAATTAGAGCAGGGATGTCAAACTCAATTCCTGGAGGGCCGCAGCCCAACACAGTTTAGTTCCAACCCTAAATAAACACACCTGATCAAACTAATTGAGTCCTTCAGGCTTGTTTGAAACCTACAGGTAAGTGTGTTGGCGCAGGGTTGGAACTAAACTGTGCAGGGTTGTGGCCCTCCAGGAATTGATCAACTTGAGGGTGAGCAAATGTTCATTTTTGACTAAATCGTTTCTTTAATGAAGTACTGGCACCACTAAAAAGTTCTACTATATTCACAGGCTCAAATCACACATAAATAAATAATTTTATACAGCAACTATGATTCATTCCAGAAGTGCAGGAATGAAGGAAATACTGGCAAAATCTGAAGATGATGTGAGAGACGAATGCCTATCTGTTCCCAATGCTGTAGGACATGACGGGGTGTCCCTGCTCATCAGCCAGTACACACGGGGAGAAGTGAAACTAGCTCTGCTGACATGAAAGGTCACATGTGTCAACCCGTTCCCATAATACTTCCTATAGCGACTTTTTAACAGTGTAGTTTCCTTATGAAATCTCTAGTTTTCTCTTTTATCATATACATCATTTTTAAGAAGCATGAACACTAAGAAGTGTTATGATTAAAGGCGACCATAACAAAATTCCTCATCTGATGGGATTTTCTTACTCACTATGACGTTCCATGTGCAGACACTCATGATGATGAATATCATCAGTTAGAAAATAAAGTTGTCTTAAAACTTTTTTATAAGAAAAGACCATTTTTTGTACTAGATTTGGAAAAGTAAATGTAATGTGCAAATATAGACGCCCCCCAACAAGACGAACTGACAAAAAGCAGTAATACATTGTTCAATACAGAGCGGCACAATAGATGAAGCTCTTGAAGCATCGTTTGAGAGACATTGTGCAGCTCTCCACTATCTGCTGCCACTTTGAAAACAATGTGACTCAAAGGGAAGACATCAATGTGTTTTAAATCTGTGTAACATCATTGAGTCCTTTCTTTTGAATTTCAGATAATTTGTGGGTGAAGAGCAGTTAACAAACGCTCTCTACTTCAGGTTTGCGATTTAACAGACACAGATCAAAATATAATATTATTTAGAACCAGCAATAAACTATTGCAAGTCTAAATAAAGTCATGTAATGCAATACTAAATGCATTTCTCCACTGATCATTTAGAATAACAGAAACAAGTCATCTTATAGAGAGTTTTGTCCAGTTGACCAGCATAAACGAATGCAGCGCGCAGATTGAATTGCCAACCACAAAGGAGAGAAGCATTGATGTGAACTTAAGTTTAACCACTTTCTGTAATTCACATTAAACTATAAAATCAAATGATGGGAATATAGTGCATGAAAACTTTCTATTGCCACATAACATCTTCATGGCTTTTGTTGGGCCTATATATTCCTCAGAATAGTACATGTGCAATATCGGATTTGGATCAGTCCCCTTTGACAGATGACCGGTCCAGCAAAAATGTGCTGTTGAAGATGATACCCCATTTAAATCAAATATCCAAGTGGTTATTTGATTTAAATGATTGTAAAGCGCTTTGTGTATATAGCCATGCACAATAAATGTGTTATTTAAATACATTATACATTACATATATTAGAATAATCTGGCATTGCAATGTTTTGTTTTGCAACAATATCTATTGGGATGTGTAAAGAATTTCACCAGATGGGTTAAACATCTTTTATTGTTAAGAATTTATGTACAGAAATTAAATAATCAAATGTAAAATAGCACTGCATGGACTTCATTGTATAACAGGGTTCATACGGTCCTGGAAAACCTGAAAAAGTCATGGAATTTTGACAAGGCATTTCCCAGGCCTGTAAAAGTTTTGGGGGGAAAACAAAAATATTTTGGAAAAGTCATGGAAATGAATTTGTTTAACAAAAATCTATCTGCTTAAAAGTGTTGTGAAAATTTTGGGTAAAATCTAAATACAATAGCGCGGTTAATCTCTTCATACAATGTTCTCTGTTTGGGGTAAAAAAAAATTTTTAAAAAGCAACTTGCTGTTTCAGCTCTAAAAGCTAATTTGTGATATTCTAAAGTCTTCTAAAACACAAGCCAACATTTCTAAAATATTTTCAATCACACAGCAAGACTATATATATATATATATATATATATATATAAATAAACATAAAATAGAGATTGTTACATATGTCTTGATATGCTGTTGTGAATTTGAACATTCTATTTTTACGTAGTTTATGTAGACATTACATGAAACATTAGGTCATGAATATTTACCTGAAAGTTTTGGAAAAGTCATGGAAAGTCCTGGAATTTTAGTAGTAAAAATGTGTATGAACCCTAGTATAAATAATTCACAGTCACTTAGTCTCTGTTTTATCAGGGGTTGCCATAGCAGAATGAATATGTAAGCAAAATAATATGTATTAAAGTTACAAATTAATTAACTTTCTTGTGCCTGAATGCTTTAAACTCTCTCACAGGCCTTAAAACTTATGGAAAGATACATTTTTGCTCCATAATGGTAAAAGATTATCAATGCCTCAAATCTCATGTTCTGTGCTGTGTCTCTAATCACGACTTTACATTGAAGATTCTGCGACGTGGCTATTGCAAATGCATGTAATGCGATATCGATGCTAAAACGAAATATTGTGCAGCCCTGAAATATTTTTGGATTTATATTCATTTGGACATTACATGCAAAGTTAGCTGACACTTATTGGGGACTTAAATCTTCGCTGAATACATCAATGTGTTTTAAAGCATCTGTGTCTGATGCACAAGAGCCCAGTTCAGTTCCTTTGCGTCACGTGACTCGCCGCCTGCCACTCGCTCTCTCTCTCAGTACTAAACGGATGTTTGCGGTTTCATGCTCTTTCTAGACGCTGCTGACTGCAGTAAATGTGATGATTAGTATCAGAGCTTCAGCTCCAGACAACTTTGTTATAGGACGAAGGATCAGATAACCTGTTTTAAAAACTGTCATCCTGTTAAAAGCACTGATGCCACGTCAGTGAAAGAGCCTAAAAGTAGCGGTTCATTAAGTTCCCTATATATCTGACTTTCTGTATTACACTCATTGACGTCACTCTGTCGTTCGGCCTGGGTTCCTGTGTCTGCCGCTCTGACTTTATGTTGCATGAAAGAGGAAGTGGAGTTGAATGTGTGCTGGTCCGAGCGTCATGCCTCAGATTGGTGTTTTTTTTTTTCCCTCTACAAGTGAACGGCTATTCAGACACGTTATAGTAATGTGGACCTGCTTCAGCAATCACTGCATCGACAAACAGGAAGAGGAAATACTGCATGCTTTCGAGTGTGCTCAGAGAGGGAAATAGCCACTTGACTGTGTTGGAAAGTATGTGTTTATTATTTTCGCAGTTTACATTCTTGTCTCGACTGAGGTAGTGTTAGTTGTACTTGGGGAGAGACGGACCACACTGGCACGGAGGAGATGAGGAAAAAAGGTTTCCTCAGGCATGTGACTTTCAAAATACAGGCACATGGAGTATGTGTCAGGGAGAGATGCGCTTAAACATTAGTTTGACTCTTAATCTCTTAATGGAAAAAGTGATTTTAAGTAAGATAAGATTAGATTTTAAGTGTTTAAGTAAAATAAAAAACAATTTGAGCTCTGTTGACAGTGTTACAACCAGGCTGCTCAAAATTGTAAGACAAGAGAGAAATTCAGACCAAGTAAATTGAAAAGAGAAACGATTTATTAACAAAAGAGCATAATTAACAAAAGTATTTGAAGCAATCACAGTCAGTATAAATGGAAGTCAGTTGTGAAAAGTGTCTGCATGGTAGGGAACTGAGCTCATGATCCAAGACAAACTAAAATAATCAAAACGCCAGGCAGGGAGGTCCAGCTAATCCAGCTCCCCTCTCATGTCAAATGTTGGACTCTTTAGAGACACCAGATAATGAGTCTCAGGTGAGATGACCAACCCATAATTCAGCATCCATGCAGGCACTGCAAATCACAAAAAAACAGAGCCAACATGCCAACTAATTCTCATTAGATTATAAGTAAGCTGTTAGGTTGGGGTGAGCATAAGTTGACATGAACTTGCAAAGTTTCTTATAGTCAGTTAAATGTCTGTTTAACAGATATTAAGCAGACAGTCTACTAATACTCAAATGGATCATCAAAATAAAATGATACCGAGTATATTAATGTTTAAAAATTATGAACCACTTTTCTTAATTTAATATGCCCTCTGTGAATATAAAATAATTTTTGTAAACTATTTGATTTGACATCAAAATGGGATGTTATTTTTTTACCCACATGTGGGGGAAAAAAGGCAAATGTTTAATTTGGGTATGGAGGCAAGTGTGGCTGCACGATATTGGAAAAATGTAACATTGCGATATTTGTTTATTCTGGTATGTATATTGCGATATAAATACAGTTTCACTTGATGAGTTGAATAAATGTTTGGAAAGAATTATAATTTTAGATTGTTTGGGATGATTCTGTAGGGGAGGGCATAAAATATAACAAACAATCTACAAGCATAGATAAATTCTTTTTCATTTATTGTAGACATAAGACCACTATTTTATTTTATTTATTCATTTGTCTTCCGAAGAGTCAATGTGTTCAGGTAAACAGTAATTAAATAATTAAATGTAAAATGATAATGCATAGTCGTCGTTTTATAAACAATTATTAAAATTAACCATTATCAATTTTTCAAAGTTACAAATGGTTCTTATGCCTGAGTATTTTTAAAACTCTCACACGGTCACAGGCCTCAAAAACACTTGCAAAGTGATCAATTTTACTCCAGACTCAACATTGCATATACTCGTGATGTAACTATTGTGAATGATCACATTGCGATATCGATGCTGAAATGATATATTGTGCAGCCCTGAAGTCAAGTGTGCTTGATGTACATCATCCTCCTTCTGGAATTTCTGAAATGCATCTCGAGTCTAATGCACAAGCACTGAGCTATTTTTTTTTAACATTTAGTTGGGTATAGAATTTCTTCTAATGCATTTTATGTGCATTTCCCTATCTCACACTTTTGCTCAGTGGTCTGGTCTAGATTCACCTTTTCACTAATGCTGCCCTCCACCACCCCTAACTCTGGTATGCTAACTATGTGGAGAATGAGTCATGAGCTGGCCGTCACTGTTGTTTTTTCCCCTCTCTTGTCCTGTCCCCGCAGGTTAAGTTTTAGATCATAAGAAAAGGAATAAAGCAGAAAACGTGAATATAGCATCTAGACAATGCAGCACTAAACATTAATGTCTCCTATTTTATTCCCCCTCCCCTCCCCAGAACTGCTGTTTTTTCTGCATGTGAGCAAGTCAGACATGGAAGATTGAGTAAAGATGCCTTTCATTCATTCATTTTCTTGTCGGCTTAGTCCCTTTATTAATCCAGGGTTGCCACAGCAGAATGAACCGCCAACTTATCCAGCAAGTTTTTACGCAGCGGATGCCCTTTCAGCCACAACCCATTTTTGGGAAACAGCCACACACACATTCACACACACTCATACACTACGGACAATTTAGCCTACCTAATTCACCTGTACCGCATGTCTTTGGACTGTGGGGGAAACCAGAGCACCCGGAGGAAACCCACGCGAAGGCAGGTAGAACATGCAAACTCCACACAGAAACAGCAACTGAGCTGAGGTTCAAACCAGCAACCTTCTTGCTGTGAGGCGACAGCACTACTAACTGTGCCACTGCCTCGCCTGTAAAGATGCCATGTAACATTAAATTGAGTTGTTAATGAAATAGTTGGTTAACTGCTCTGAATGTTTAATAGTTAGATCTTAGGACTGGAAACAATGCACAACTATTGTCTATTTTTTTTTGGGGGCGGTTGAAGTTGACAGATTTCACAGAAAACCACTTTAATTTCCATTATAACCTTGTAAAACTCAATTTGAAAGTCTATGATGCCCAGTGTTTTAATTTCTATTCAGATTGTACAAAGTAGTGTTAGTGTGCTCTAGCTCAGTGTTTCTCAACCACGTTCCTGGAGGACCACCAGCTCTGCACATTTCCGTGTCTCCTTAACCAAACACACCTCATTCAGATCGTCGGTGCATTAGCAGAAACAGAAAGACCTGTAATAGGAGTAACAGACAAAGGAGACACCCAAAACATGCAGTGTTGGTGGTCCTCCAGGAACATGGTTAAGAAACACTGCTGTAGCTTATTTCTAGTGGTACTTCAATGTCATTTGATATGCCTTAATCGTATATAAACCACCACATGTGAATTTCATTCCACAACATGTCAGTATTTATGACTGATTCACGTACCTGTTTTAAAACCCTCCATCTTTATTTAGAAGCTTCACACAACAGTCCTTTATCATGAGAGTAATATCTGTTTCATTCTTAAATGTTGCTTTGAATTTTGGGTTTTTTTCCCTCACATCATCTCTGATAAATAAGTAATGGAACCTCTGTGTCTCTACAGGACTACTTACCAACGCAGCAAGACATTCTGCTGGCACGTAAGCCCACCAAAGGCATTCATGAGTACGACTTTGAGATCAAGAACGTGCCCTTTAAGATGGTGGACGTCGGCGGGCAGAGGTCGGAGCGCCGTCGGTGGTTTGAGTGCTTCGAAAGCGTCACTTCCATCCTCTTCCTGGTCTCGTCCAGCGAGTATGACCAGGTGCTGATGGAGGACCGGCAGACCAACCGTCTCATGGAGTCGCTCAACATCTTCGAGACCATAGTCAACAACCGCGTCTTCAACAACGTTTCCATCATCCTGTTCCTCAACAAGACGGACTTGCTGGAGGAGAAGGTCAAATCAGTGTCCATCCAGGACTATTTCCCCGAGTTCACAGATGATCCATGGTGCCTGGGGGACGTGAAGAACTTCCTGGTGGAGTGTTTCCGAAACAAGCGCCGAGACCAGCAGCAGAAGCCCCTCTACCACCATTTCACCACCGCCATTAACACGGAGAACATTCGCCTGGTCTTCCGTGACGTCAAGGACACCATCTTGCATGACAACCTCAAACAGCTCATGCTGCAGTGATGCCAGTCCAACCGTTTCCTTTCAGATCACTCCAAAAATAACCCTCTTCTGCTCAGATGTTTGTACTCCGCACAGTAACCTTTCTCAATAGCTCTGACTGGCTTTCGTGCGAGGAAGAAGAAGCCCTAGCCTTCTGTCATGAGCATGGGACGGCAGGTAGTTTTTCTCTTAAAAAGCAGGTCTAGAGAAGAGAGTGCGCTCGTCCACTCACACGTGAGTGTCCTGCCAGAGAAGCTGTACATGTCATTGAGCGCCACCCTCTGCCTGAAGGTGCCAAACGCTCCCTCGAATAGAGGACAAAAGCAGGAAGAGATCCTAGCATCTGTTACCTTTGAGCCTTGTATTACTGACCAAATAGCAAGATGAGATGCAAATGCTGTTTTAACCTTTTAACAGGAACCATGTTCTGAGCCTTTCTGTCCATGTCCTACCTGGCCTTCATTTTTACCCCTTTTTGATTGGTGTTTTTAACTTGTAGATGTCTAATCATTTGTACAAAAATTTTAGGATTCAGTTGTTGTTTTTTTATATATATATATATATAGATATGAATATATTTACCAACAAACTTAAGTTATGTTTCAGAACGTTTACACTCTGATTTTCCTCTGCTGATGGATAACGCTCACGATTCATACCACTTGTTGATAAACTGAACCTCTACTGTGGTTAGCCATGCTAGGCGAGCTGATAGATCCAGTGTGCACACGGCATAAACTCAGGGCTGAACGTAGACCACTTTAGCGTAACTCTTCAGGCGCCGTCGAGAACATCCACTAACTGTAGCTCTCCATCAGTGGCTGGAAATCCGATTTCCTTGCTGGCCTGCAGATGCCCTTCTCTGCCTTACCCTAGCGAGAGTCTGGAAGAACTTCTTCCTCCATCAGGGAACAAAAGAAGGTGTTTTTTATTTATTTGCTTTGTTTTAAATCCTTTTTAAGTCCACAAACCAAACTATTCCGACTCTTCGGTTAAACCCTACTAACAAAAGCGCCTGTATTCACAAGTGCCACACGTTTAAGGTACCAATAATTCGAACAAAGGGATGGATCTTACTGTGTGAACCCTGTCGTTCCCTCAAAGGTTGTGTATAGCTACTTTGTATAGTGCCATTTCTGCCCTCAATACTACTGTTGTAGTAAATATTTTTGTGTAAATAATCTCTAACCCGTATGTAACCTACACTGAAATGTATAGCTTTTTCTTTTTTTGCCCACTGTGCACCCTCAAATCCAGAGATACTGACTCCCTGCCCACAATTCTGCGCAGTTTTTTTTTTTTTTTTTTTTTTTTTGGTGGGCTGGTTGGCGCTGAATGGTGCCCTCTATACATCGTCTACACACTCAGATGTGCACTCTTTGTCTGGCATCGTATTCTGCCTTACGCCCCTGGCTGAAGTCCCAGGAGGCTTGTGAAAAGCAAGTATTACGTCTTCACACTGCACTGAGTGTCCTGTGTCTCCTAGTGCCATTCACTGCCAGCAAAGATCTTGGCATTCGACTTTCACTCTACAAACCGCACAGGATTTTTTTTTACTTATTTGTAGCACCGTTTAAAATACAAAGAGTGTCCGCCTCTAGTATTTGCTGCCTTATTTGGCAAGCGGAGTCTTAAAATGTTGTATTATGCCTTCCAGATCTTTTTAAACAAGTGTTACGTACTTACCGCAGTGGTAAACATCGGTCTAAAGCTTCTGCCAACCCAAGTGCTTGTGCTAATGACGTCACTGGCTGTCAGCGCGGTGCAAAAAGTCACCATTGCTGCCGTCACACACACACACACACACACGCACACTCTCCACACCGATGCCTTTCTGTCGCGCTTCTTACAGTTGACCTGTTTAAAGGAAGGCTGTGGCTGCAGGTCGATACACTACTCCAGCTGTATATCTGTAAGATCAGCGTAGTCTTTGTCGGGATTGACCTTCATTTTCTCTGCTCTTCCTGTAAGGATTCTTGATTATGGTTCTTACTGTAGCTTTCTCCACAATGTGATTCTAATCAGAGGTGGTTGATTTTGATAATATTTGTGGGTTTTGCCCAAATAATCGAATGGAGTATTGATTTATGCAAGTCGGGAATGTTGCCTGTCACTGATCTGCTAGTGCCTCCAGTTTGATGCCATTTCTGGTCCTTTTTTTGGTTTGTTTTTTACTTAGGTTTTTGAATTTTGATTAATGCGGATGCTTTGGAGTCCTCATATCAAAGTAATTCAGACTAAAGATTTTGAGATTCTTGTGCTTCGTGTTGGAAATTAGATCTGCTTGTACAGTCTAACCCATGCTTCTTCAGTCTTCATCATTGGCTCAATAAAATCATTTTTGCAAAAACTGCCATTTAGATTCTGTTGTTGTTGTGTTGTGGGTTGGAATAGCTGTGTTTTAGAAATACTGCAGCTTGTTTCATTATTTACAATCACTTAAAGGGTTTACTTGAGTGCAGTTCCACATTGTGAACACTAGGTTGTAGTGTTGCGCCAAAATTAGCAAGAGTTTAATGCACTAATTTACATGGCTAAAAACAGTGCCAAAATGCAGAATTAATTAGATATTAATTGTAGGTTTACTTAATTGATCAAAACACGTCAGTTTTTTATAACTTATTTTTTACATAATATAATTATCATTATATAAATGAAAATGGACTAATATGAAACTTCACAGGTCAGAACTTTGTGTCATTTCTTTTTTACTGTGCATGGAGTTTAGACCAGTCAAGTATTAAAGGGATAGTTCATCGATAAACCATGCTTTTTTCACACATATATTTTTCAAAAACTTATTTTGAAAAATGTTGGAAACCAGTAGTTATTGACTTCTATAGTATTTGTTATTCCTACTATAAAAGTCAATGGTCTGCTTTAAAATTTAAATTGTTATGGTGAACTATCCCTAAAACTTTGAGTATGGTGCAGTCAGCAGTAATTGGCAGATGAGGCAAGATGTACGTTTTGAGTCCTGTTTGTGCATAAGTGTCCTAAATAGCATCTATTTTGTGACCAGTGTAGCTAAGTACACCATCTAAACAATAGTTTAGTGACAGTAATCTGCACTGCTTTACAAAAGTCTTGCTGTCGATCTAGGTTGTAAGAGCAACGTATAATAATTTGACTTCTAGCTGATCATTTGGAAAAGTGGCAGAAGGACGACTTTTCAGATGAATCATCTGTTGAACTGCATCCCAGTCATCACACATGCCACACTGTAACCTGCATGGACCCTAGACTCTCACAGAAATCAGTCAAGTTTGGTGAAGGAAAAATCATGGTTTGGGGTGACATCAGGCCCGTGCAGAGAGTGTCCAAAGGGGGGGGGGGGGTGTTGTTGTCGCGCACATACAGAAGAGGGGTGTTGTTGCGCGCGTTCTGATCAGCTGTGTTGTCTACTGAAGGGGGGGGGGGGATGTGTCGCTGGGGCACTTTTGATAATTTTGGAAGGGCACTTCCTATCCCAGACTAAAAAGGCCATGTGCACTGCACAGGTTGAGCCCTATGTGTGCACGTGCCTGGGTGACATTCAGCGTGGGGGCGTGTGAGAGATCTTCAGAATGGATGGCAACATCAACAGCCTGATGTATCAAGACATTTGTGCTGCCCATTACATTACAAATCAGAGGAGAGGGCAAATTATTCAGCAGGATAGCGCTCCCTGAAAGCTAAGTAGGTAAAGGTGCTCCAAGATTGGCCAGCCCAGTCACCAGATACTAACATTATTGAGCATGTGTGGGGTAAGATGGAGGAGGCATTGAAGATGAATCCAAAGAATCTTGATGAACTCTGGGAGTCCTGGAGGAATGCTTTCTTTGCCATTCCAGATGACTTTATTAATAAGTGATTTGGGTTGTTGCAGAGATGTGTGGGTGCAGTCCTCCAGGCTCATGGAAGTCAGACATAATATTAATTCTTTTTCCACTGCACCATGATTTTTTGTGCACAGTGACCAGACCTTTGTCTAAGTAAAGTCAGACCTTACTGACCTAATTAAATAATAAAAAAATCAAGGCATGATCATAATTTATTTTGGTAGACTAAGCATAATCTAGAGGCCTTTGCCTTTCTTATAAGCCACTTCTGATGCCAAACGATCAGCTAGAAGTCAAGTTATTATCAGTTGTTCCTAAAGTTTGGATAGACGACAACAAGACTTTAGTCAGGTAGTGTAGTCTTTAACTGAGCTTGTTATCTTGGGACTGTTCCCACTGCTTGCTTTACTGCAGCACACGTTGCACTGCAGTGAGTTGAGGGAGAGGCTTCTGTTCTGATGACTCAGCACTACTCCACAGTCAAATGACCTCAATAAATCTAAATCAAGAGGACAACCGGGTTATACAAATAATCACTGAGTTTATTCTACATTTAAACATTCTCTCAATGCATTATTCAGAAGTGCAGCATGTCTCAGGCAGAGTCTATAGTACATCACAAATAACATAAATCAAAGGGAAAAAACACACACAGTGTCTTATCATTAAAAGTACAAAATAAACCGTTTAAATATGACAAATGAAACATGCTTACAGAACATTATAGGAGGTCCATAAGAGTTCAAGTCAAAAAGTAAGTGCTACTTTTTTCTTACAGAATTAACCCACAGGCTCATCTCTTGCGCTTATATTTCGTTGCTCGATCTGTGTCTTGTTTTTATCAAACCCTCCATTCTCCAGCCATTGATGTAGTGTTTAACAGAACAATCCTACAGTCTATTGTTTTTATCTTCAGCCATCTTCACACAGTCAGATTAATGCTGCTCTCTGCATGCTCATAATTCAGAGACTGCTGCACAATATCCAGACTGGTAAGTATACCATTTTAGCTGCTGTGTAAATGCATTCATGCCACCTCTGAGCAGCATTAAACAGCCAGTGTTAGAGACGAATAAACACCACTTCACCATCTTTGCAGGAAATTAGGGGCTGCTTCTCAGAGAACACCCTCTGCTGTTGTTTAGAAATACATTTTGTCACCACTTAACATTTTTAGTGCCAGCCTTTTCACAACACTGCTTGTAACATGCACTAAACGGATATCTCTGTCAATTTTCCATGCTACTTGTTGCTTTGTTTTATTCCCTATTCTTCTTTTTCATTCTACGGCTATGCTTATGATTGGCTCTTCCACTGTCTATTGCACTGCATCAGGATCTGAAACTGGTTTTCCCATTAAGCGGCAGTGTCTGCTTTCTGGAATGATGTCCAGGGTTTTTTTTAAACTCTTAAACTCTAAAAGTTTTTTTTTATATTGTTACTGAAATTGTCTTTTGTCAAATACTTAACTAGAATCGGAATACTAGAAACTCGTACTAAAACTTAGTTTAAGAACGGAGTGCAAGTTATTTATTACTTAAGGAATAAAAAGTCATTCATTAGTGTGACAAAAGCAAGTCATCAATTAAAAAAAACAATGATTTTGTTGCTCTTGATATCGTGATGATTTTTGATCTCGATGAATACAATTCATTTCAAGAGTTCAAACTTAGCTGATGATTAATTATAAAGCTTGTTTGGCATGCTGTCCCAGGAGAGAGCCCCAAGCTCATAAGATCCTCGAGCCCGGGGCTCCCTCACGTTTGCAAGGCAAGAAGGGAGATTGAGCTCAGGCAGATCTCGAGAACTCCCCTCCTGTAGTTGCTAATGCACAGATAGTGATTGCTCTTAAGATAAAACTACTTACTAGGAGCATGTCTATGGTGCCGATTTGGATTAGTCAATTAACTTAGGTTGCATTTTTTTGGTCTCTGGAAGAAACAGGTGGTCCCGGGGAAAACCCATGTGAGCATGGGGAAAATGTGTAAACTCCGCACAGAAATGTTGGCTGGCTTGGTAAGGACCAGAACCAGTGACGTTCTTGCTGTGAGGCAACAGTGCTAACCACTAGGAAAGGAACTAGCTCTAGGAAAGGTGTAGGGGTGGACGAGGGAATTCCTCAAACAAAAATGGCTTCGATATGGAACTTAGGGTATTTATAGTGACTTATAAATCGTCTGATTGGTGGATCATGAATTGGCTAATGCATGAACAGCTGTGTTCAGTCATGAGCACGTGATCCTCTCGAAATTAGTTTATCAATAAACCTGACGTAAAAACAATAGGAGAAACACGTGTTGCAATCATGTTGGTCCACGATGTTAATTCAGAGCAATATACGCAAAAACTGAAACTGCAAATTTGTTAGCGGGAGATCTACAAAACTCCCAACGCCCGGCTCAACAGAATTGTTTGTGATTGGTTTTAAGGCTTTAGTGTAAAACTGAATTTCAGATTCCACTTCTATCACAAGAGCTATAATAGTTTCATTTTGTTGTGCAGAGGAATTTGATTGACCTCCCATCCAGAATTTCAGTTGCTTTTTTTCTTTACTATCAGCCGCCATTCATTTCAAATCCTACGCCACATTGTTAAAGATTCACCTTTTAGGGACTTATCTTCTTTTGTGTTTCTCTGCGTTACTTCTAAATGGTTTTCTATATAGACTTATTCCATTTCCCAACATTTTCCACCCGAGTGTCATATTTTTTAAAAGCTTCGTCAAAATAAACACTGCCAGACTGTGTTCTGAGTGAACAGCCCCTGTAGTAGTTTCTTCCTTCAAGTCACAAGCTTTTCGTGATTCTGCAAGGCACCGACGGCTCATTCCAAACGACAGCAGTAACAGGACATTCTGTAGCCATTGGAAACACTAGATAACCTACTGTACATCTGAGGACGGAAACCTTTTATTTAACATCAGTTTTTCTTGATGGAAGACTTTTCCTCTGTAAAGTCTCATGCAGGAATGTGTTTTGGTCGAAAACATCCTGCATCTTGACTTTGGTTTCCATCTGCAAAAACTAGTTAATAATTAAAGAAGAGACCCTGGAGAGAACGCTCGATGGAGTCTCATCTTCAACTCTGATTGAGGCTTTTGAAACCTAAATACACATCATGGCCTCAATGTTAGCAGCAAAACAGCGTGAGGTTTCTTCTTTAAATGGTAAAGCTGAGAGTATTTTGATGGTTTATGCTCGATTTAAAACAATAAAATAAATAGAAAAGGCTGGAGACTTTGGTAAACGAGGAGCTTTGAATCTTCAATAAATAACGAGTAGTAAAAAAGAGATGTAAACGTATTCTGGATGTTACGACTGGATGTTCAGCATAAGTGCTGTTGAAGAATGATTAAACTACTTTAATTGACGTAAGGTTTGATTTGTGAGGATTTTGCCCTGTTGGGATGGGGGAGTGTGGTTGGCAGCCTTTGGATCTGATGGTTCAAGTGAAGGATAACAGGTGATCCTGTATTCATACTGGCCATGGTTTGCTCTTTGCGGGACTGTTGTCAGTCTCCATGTCCATTTCTACAAAGTCAGCAGGGCTGTCATCACTGCCCTGTGAAGAAGCGTCTCTGTCTGCACTTTGCTGGTCCTTTCTCTTCCTCTTCCCAAAGCAGAGGCCAGTTTTCGCTGGACGCACCAGTCCTAGAAACAGAGCACCGACTCCCATCCCAGCCGCACAGGAGTAAAAGGCAGATCCATAATTATTAGTCTGGTCTACCAGAAAACCTGAAACAGAAGATCATCAGTTAGCTTTTTTACTTTCACAGAACAAGATAATATTAAAGCAAATAACAGTGATGACTGTGATAAACTTCTAAACAAGTGCTTTAACATTAGCATAATGGCATTAGTTTAATGTACATTTAATATTGTGAATTTAATATTTAGAATTTTAATCCTGCTTCATTTAATTATAATATATATATATATATATATATATATATATATATATATATATATATATATATATATAATTTTTTTTTTTTTTTTTTTATAAATTAATGTTAGTTTATTAAATTTTTTTTTTTTTTTACAAATTTTTATAGAATTGTCACAAAGCATTTTATATTCATGAAAATATGTCGTGACTTTTATATTTTGTATAAGGTCACTCAAAAATAGATCATTATTTTTTAAAGTTGTTTTAAACATTTTAACTTAAAAGTTTAAGCGGGTAAATTCACACTGGTGGTTTTTCACAACTTTGTTTTTATTATAAAATAGTTTCCTCTAACAATTTAACTTAAATAGCATTGGCAATATTAAATGTCTGATATTATTAATCTAATATTAATTGTTATATTTGATATAAAATATGTGTTTAATATCATTTATTTGCTAAACATTTTTATTTCTCTCAAATATTATACCTTTCTTTTTATGCATGAAAATCTATTATTACCCTTATATTTTTGTAGAGACTCCCTCAAAATTGGACCATCATATCGGCACAATAGCCTAGTGGTTAGTGTGCAGACATATGGTGCAGTGGTGTTTCAGGGTGTCCTGAGAATCCTGGCTCGAGGACATTTACCGACCCTACACCGGTACACCTACTTCGCTTTCTGTCCGATTATTGTCCTATCAAAAAAAGGCCATACTTAAGGGCCGATCACACCGAACGTGCTTTTATTTTCCAAAAATGCGAGATGTGCCGCAACACCTTTTTGTTTACAAATTTAAAAGAAGTGCTGTGCACTCTTTGTCGCTAGACAACTGAATCAGCTGTGTATCATGCGCTGAGTGTTGCTGTTGTTATTTATTAGAATTTTAATAATTAATACTATTGTGATATTGTGCAACCACAAGTCTCTCCTCCATCTTCAAAAGTCTCTGTAGTTGTCTTGACAACACAAACACTGCTGTTGCCTCACCAGAAACTCCTTTGTTTTCACTTGATTGGAGAAAGAAACAAATGCGACTGACTCAACGCTTTTTCTGCTCAGAGTTGACTTTTTTCAACTGCGAGCGCACAGTGCGCAACGGCAAAAACGTGAGGCAGCGCACAAAGCGCTTGCAGTCGTTAGTAAATCATTCAAAAAAGGTGCCTCTCAATGCAAAAATTAGTCATCTATTGAAAAATCCCCCTTCTAATTGGTTGCAATGTGGTTGCTAAGGTGTTTTGATTGGTCTGTAACAAAGACTATTAAATGCACAAGACGTGTCACTCGTTTACTTTTGAAAGGGGAAAAGTGTAACAGTCAATATGGCGAATGAAGCCCCGCCTTCTAGTACAGGAGCCAATCAGTGATCGCTATAGAATGACAATTATCAGGGGGAGGGGCTTGGACTAGACTTTAGTTTCTGCCGAATTTGTGTGATACGAACATTTAGAAAGACACAGTTGTTGTTTAATTTGATTGGTTATTCATACTATGTAATGTAATCGTAATTTTGGCAAGCAGTTTTGGAGAATTTGATGTTTCCCTATTCAAACAGAATGCCCGTGCATCGACCAAGAGCATTTCAAAGATGGCGGCCGAGTGAAATGACTTGACTTAAAGGGACTTTGTCTGTAATTACAGAAGCATTTTGTACCTCCTAGAGGTGGACCTGCGAGTCCTGCGAAGCTCTGAATGCAGACGTAAACTCCGACAGCCGATGACATTCTCTGAATCCCGATCACGTCATCTTCAGCCAGCATGGGGATGTGACTGGAGGCCACAGTGCCCAGCAGGAACCCGTACAAACAAGAACAGGACATGAGCCCCCAAAACTCTGAGACGAAGGTGAAGACCACCAGCACCGGACATAGCAGCACTGTGCAGATCAGCAGGATGTAGATTTTGCGGATGGGCTTGCGATTGAGGACCCAGCCCATGGACAAACGACCCCCAATCTCAGCCACGGCCATAGCGGACAGCATGTAGGTGGCGCTTTTCTGAGATACTCCTCGACTTACACTCAGCTGAATGATGTAGATCTGTGGTGCGAAGAAGCCCAGTGTTGCGAACAGACCAAACAGTGCATAGCAGTTAAAGCTGGCATCTCTGAGCACAGAGAAGTCCAAAAGTTTGGTTCTGGACACACTGGAGTCCTCCTGCTTCTGTTTCAGAGGCGTCTCTGGCGATTCTCCTTCCTCCTCTTTCTTCTGCTGCTCTTTGGCCAGGTTGACCTGTGAGGAGGAGATGGACTGGACACCGGAGTCCACCGAGTCAAAGGAGGTGCATGTGAATTCATTCTCTGCATCGTATTTGGAGTCGAGGACTTTAAGGGGGGATGTGGACGCCTCCTGGGTGGCGGGTTTGGGTTTGATGACGATTGGCTTTAGTAGAGCCCCGCAGACAATAATGGAGGCCTGCAGGACCCCAATCACCATCAAGCAGTAACGCCAGCCGATCTGCTCCTTCAGGGCATTCATGGCTGCAGGGGGAAATCAAAACAAATGCATTATAGAAAGACCCACTTTTCAATATGTCAAAAACAAACTAAATAAGTTGTAGTCGTGCCAAGAACTCTATGACTATATATATTTGATTATCAAATCTTGTTATATTATCAAGTTACACACATATATATATATATATATATATATATATATATATATATATATATATATATATATATATATATATATATATATATATATATATTCTGCTTATAAAGAGTTCAACAGCAACAATAAAGAAAATTAATCATTTAGCTACATAACGTTCAAAACCAGTATGACAAGGACTTAAAACTGACATTATGCCTAGCAAAACTTTCATTTTGTAAAATTGAATAACGCTAAAATTGCAGGACTGATATTTTTACTGTGATTAAATCTATAAAGGGCCAACCATAGAGTAGTTTTAACTTTTTATTTGGAAAGCTGCTATTTAGTTGACTGATTTATAAACCCAGGCTGTGTTGCATTTTAAAATGCTTGTTATAAGCTACTCAAACTCAGAGCACTTGCAGAGATAGTTTGTGTGGAGCAGCGTTTATCAGACAGGGTATATGCAGGAATCCTAAAGGTCATTTCAATACCTTTTTAAGACGTTTTTAAGATGTTCTCAGAATATTTTAAGGCCCCATCCCCACTTCAAATTCTAATCACTATCAAACTTTAATTTAATAAACTGTTGTAGTTAAATCAATAAAGCACAACCATGCAACAGATTTTGCGTGGAAAGATAAGCGTGGAAGAAACAAAGCTTGAATGAATAAATGACATGGTTGTTTTCAATGACAAGCCTCGGCCATTCTTTAAACTCGTCTTTCTCCAACCAGGAGTACGCAAACTTATATTTCCCCATTTTGTCTGTTTCACTCCATGGTTTCGCTACATGTGGGGAGCACCACATCACCTTCCTGCGTTTGTCACAAATTACATGACATCACCCGGACCGACGAGCCTGGCCGGACGCACCCAGGTCCAAACTAATCAAGTGAATTGAGCACACCGTTGTTAATATTAGAAGGAAAATAAATATATTTATGCTTCTTTGGAGTCAAACAGATTGGACAACGCTTCAACAAAATTTAAGACCTCGTAAAAACACAATTAAGACATTTTAATACCTTTTAATGGCCTTCATTTTCTATTTTTCTTAATTGGTTTTTCAACTTTTAATATTTTTTAAGACACCGCGGACACCCTGATCAGAGCATCACATTGCATTAGTTCACATTTTTTTATGACAATCAGACTGTAGTCTTTGCAAGGTGATAATTGTGCTAAACTATTATTTTTTAGACACTGTAAGAATTACCAAACAACTGACAAGTGATTCAATTTCACATCACACCGATTTTGACTCAAACTGAGCTGCCGCGGTCACTAAACTTTACATCCCATTGACTTCTATTCACATAAATGTGTCAGACCAGAAACAAACTTGTCCAAATATTTCTCATATTACATAATGTAACAAAAGTAAAGTTTGGAGAACTGAACTGTAAATTCACGTCACATGAATGCTTGAGGCAAGTAGACGATCAAAACTTTGACCTTGCGGTACAGAAATTTAAAACATGGAGGAATCGCTTATTTTAGCACTGTGGCGACATCCTGCCTCTTTTAGTAAAACATTCGAAAGAATTTTGCATGCTCAATTTAGTTAGACTGCAACTTTGGGCATTTTTGACAAGTGTTAATTTTACTTTGTTTTTAATAATTTCACTAATATGAGCAACATATGACAAGACAGCATTTCAAAAATGTCTCAACATTTACAATTAAAATCAATGTGGTCCAGTTGTTCAGACCAAAAATGGCTGAAACATTGTTAAAATTAATGTGGGCAATTCGGTGTCAGTTTGAGTCACGTCCCTGGAACTCTAGAATATAGGGTTTTATAACTCTTTAAAAACATTCTCAATTTTTATTTTGTTTGTTGCTTTTTATTTTTGGTTTTTGGGCGTCTAATTCTGTGCATTGTGTTTTTTGCTGTTTTGTTCAGTTTCCAAGCCAACATTTTTATAGCAGTAGATCGTAGTAGCTCTGTTTCAAGAACATTAAATTCTTCATTACTTCTTGTGTAGCCAAATCATTAATTTTGCCTCTAGTTTTCTTAATTTCATCTAATATGTCTTGAGCTAAGCTCACTTTGTGTCTTTTTTTTCTAACCCCTTTAGTATGTAGGTCATCTAACATTTTATTTCTCATTTTTCTCTTGTAAGAAGATATTGCTACAAGTTTACCTCTCAGGATGGCCTTCAGGGTATTCCATAAAATAGTAGGTAAGACCTCAACATCCTCATTAAATTCCAGATAGGCCCTAATTTCTTTTTTAACTTGTTCCTTAAAACTGTGGTCATTAAATAAACTTGGGTTTCAAGAGTTCCCACTTAGATATGCTTGGCACTTATAGCAGGTTTGGCATGCTATCCCGGGAGAGAACCCTGAGCTCGGAGATATTTGAGCCCAGGGCTCCCGCCCGGTCTAGAGGCATATCAGGAGAACCGAGATCAGGTAGGTCTCGATCGCTCCCCCTTTAGAAGGGGAGAAAAAGGAGGAGATGGGGTGGAAGGGGGGATTCTTCCAAAACGAAGAAAGTGATCCATTTATATTAAGCTAGGATCATTCTGATTGGATTATTACTGATTACGGATAAGTGGCCAGCAGTGCACAATCATATCACGTGCTCCTCTTGAAATTAGTTTATGAAAGTTCACTTAGTTTCCATGTAGTGTACTTTGGTTGTAGGTCAAAAACAATGGATATATATAGGTGCATGGTCAATTACATCTATTGTTCCGATTTTACAAGTGTGTTTTATCTTTATCTTTTCCAAACATTATAAAATATTCTATTCTGGTGGATAAAGAGTGTGGGGCAGAATATTAGGTGTAATCTCTGAAAGGTGAAATGACATATTTATACCTGGTGCGAAGGCGAGCATGGAGAAACACTCTCCTGTGGAGGCTATAGAGGTGACGAGCGAGCGGCGCTTGCTGAAATACTGCGACAGGATGGTGACGGTAGGCAGGAAGGTCAGACAATAGCCCAGGCCTGTAAATAAACAGCAAAGAGGGATGATGACAGCCACTGGTCCCTTCAAAACAAGGACTCAGGTCAGTCTGAGGGGCTCAATCACCGCCCTCTTCCATCGGACAAACAGGACAGAGGGCTGAAAGAAAACTGCATTTAAAAGAGACAAAGAGACAAGGAGAAACAAAGATTGGTGAGATTAGCACCAACTAATGGTAGAGGGCAGGACGTGGTGGATAATTGGAGATAGCTAGCAGTGTATCCGTTGAGATTTGATTATGTGGTCAGTATTGAGTGTCAGTTTAACTGAGAGACCAGCACATCCACAGTAAATAGAAGAGCGAATCAGTGTGGACTGATCATGTAAAGTGTTAAAGTCTATCAATAGGAGTGAAGCTTTGTATTTTTTATGATTTAATTTGGGACTTTATTATAATAGGACACTTTATATTGATGGGAAGTGAAGTTAGAGAAAGAGAGCAAGACATTGAGATTGGGAAAGGTCCACAAGTTGGGACTCGAATTCATGACACCCACAGCACATCTACAAAACATATCACCGACTATGCTGTTGGTGCCAATGTGAGTTTTTTTTTTATAATTTATGGTCTATCAGTAAGCAGTTATTACTGGATATTTATTTAGGTTATTATTTTTTTGTTATTTATTTAAATAAATATGAAAATAAATATGAAATAGTTTGAAAACAAGCAAGAAAAGTTTATGGGCCAGTGACACGACCACATTAAAATGTTCTATAGACCTTTTTCATGGCTGCTACATGGAGGGCGCCATAGCGACCAGCGTCTTACGGTAGAATGCTAAAAACTTCCGTTTACAGCGTGAACAATTAGTAATTTGCGCTCCGAAAATGGGTTTCAATAACGTTTTTAATGGATAACAGAGTGTTTTTGTGACACACAACTTAGAAATGTGTCTGTTAAAGCCAGTATAATCTGTCACATGTGGTTCAAGCGCGTCAGAAATAGGAGATAAACGTTCTCCTAGTTCACGTGTCTGCCGTCAGAAATACAGTGTGTGTGTGCGTTCCCGGCCTGTCAGCTGTTAGCTCGAGAGAGAGAGAGAGAGAGAGAGAGAGCGCAAACCAGAGTACTGGCATGAAACTTATTAGGTAACTTATGAAAGTCGTGCAATTTACAAAAATGACCAATAAAAGTCTGTTATTGATACTCTGCTGGCTGATTTGCTGTTCATTCTAATCGCGAGCCGTTTGTGTTTTATTTTGTGTGTTGTTTTTACCGCGGTTTGTGTTTTTCTGTCATTTCGAAATGACAGTAGCCTATATTTTCACTTTGTCACAGTTATTAAATCAGTGTGTCAGTGGCACAGTACAGGCTTGTTTTGTGTGTCAAACATTTTGGTGAATTACATTTGTTTGGGCTGGTTATATATTTGAAATAAAGAGAAAATGTTGACTTTAGCGATGACAAGGCTTCATTTAAACTGCAGAAGATGCCGTCTGACAACGAGTGGAAAACGCCTCACAGCAGCTGTTTTCCATACTATTAGATCGCATTTCTTTAAATGATCAGTCCAGGAGATGGTGCTGATGGACAACAGTTTTAGTTCAAAGAGGATAAAAGCAGGTAAAATAGACTAAAACTATCGTTTCAAAGCTGTCCAAATGTGACTGTTTACACGCATCAGCTGCCGACCGGAAGTTCTTCGCATTCTCCTTGCGCATACACGCAAAGCATAATGGGTAATTTTGCGTTCCAAGAAAAAGGTCTATATAATTACATTTATTCTAATGATATTAAATCAGAATTATACATATATGAACTTAGGTACTCCAAACTTTGTTTTCAAACTAAAGAAAGAAAATGAATTACATCATGTAAAGTATGGAAAATCTCTTTCTTTATTTGAATAAAAACAGCGCTAGTTGTTTTTATAATGTAAAAAATGTAATGTGAAAAGTAACGCAAAAAAGTGGAAAAAATACTTTGTTAAATCTTGCACTGGTCAAATAATTTGAATGTGAAAATACAATGTGAAGAAGTGAAAGTGGAAAAGTGAAAGTGAAAATATTACTTAAAAGACAGAATAAATTCAGCTCCAGTTATCTTACATGTTTTGTTATGGGACATGCAACACATGTAATACACATTTAAGCATTGTATACCTGCAACAATGCCCATGGTGATGTACATCTCATCGATGGACTGAGTGAGGGCTGTTGTGATTGTGCCCAGGCTGATCAGGAATCCACCAACCATGACCACAGGCCGATGGCCGAAACGGTTACTCAGCAGCGTAGAAAGAGGAGCTGGCGGGAAAGAGGGTGCCAATCACAATCACTTATCCTAATATCACTCATAATATACGTGTGCAGCCTTACAGCTCAAAACTAAGTAAATCTTGTCACTTCCTTTTCAGAACAGTCTTAAATTATACATTTCTAGTGGTTTTGTTTCTCCAAACGACATGAAGACGGTATCGATACCAATTTTAGCTCTAGGTAATTACTTTTCAGTAACTGACTGCCTCTGTTTAAACAAGAATGATCTTTTGAAGCCCTGTCAGCTGGAAAAAGCTGAATCCATCCATTGAGTCATGAAACGCTGGGGCTGCTTTGTCGCTGGCCAAACAGAGAGAGATTTCCCAGTCAGCCGGCAGTCCTTACACAGCAAAAGTCAGCACATGTGCTAAATAGGGCATCGCTCACTCTCAGCACAAATGATATGATGAAAGTAAGCAGTTATGAAGGCCATCTGACAGGTTATAGCTGCTGTTTTCTGCACATTTTAAAAGCATCAGTACATTTGTGCGTCTCAGAGCAACAATGCAGTTTTCTTCTTGAATGAATCAATTCAATTATTCAACGATGCATTTATAAAAATAGTCACTACTTTTATTTCTAAAAGAATCAGACATTTTGAACAAATCACTTGAATTAATGAATAATTGAGTGAAGAACTTGTCGCCACCTACTGGCTATTGTATTGTATTGTGGCTATTGTCATGATTTTTCTATCATTATTGCACCAATGCACTCTTATATATATATATATATAGAGAGAGAGAGAGGATGAGTTTCTTTTTGGGAGGCCTGTCTCTTTAAGCCCTGAGAGATATACAGAACAATCACACATCTGATGACACAGCTCTTAATTTCACAGTCTGTACCCGCTTCTTTTGGGATATGCCCTGGCTTTTTATAATGACCTAGTTCTTTATCGACTTCCTTGAACTAAAACTGAGCTTTGTGTGTGATGTAGCTTTAAAGTTGTGTTCAGTGTTACATAAAACCCATATTAAAAATGGTGGAACAAACTTAAAATAGTAAACAAGGGCTTTAATAAAACCACAACACTTTAAAATAATGGTGTATTAGTTAATGTATTTACTAACATTAATACACTATTAGTAATACATTTATTATGGTGTTTATTAATCTAATGCTAACAAGCACAAATTTGGATTTTAATAATAATGCTTTAGTTGGTGTTTACATTTGACTTTTTTTTTTTTACATTTTTTAGTAAATGTTGAACTATGATTAGCAAAATGCTTGACAAGATTATTCATACTTAATGTTAGTAAATGCATTCATCTTTGGACCACTATTCTAAAGTGTTGCCCTAAAAACTTATTAAAATAATGCAAAATTGAAGAAGGCAGCAGATGTCTTTACCAGATAACATTTCCTAATCTTATACTGAGGAATTTTACTCTCATACTGCTCTCTGTTAGAGTAAACAGCATTTGTATAGTGTAAACAATGTCTAGACTGATTTACCTGTGAAGGCCATAACAAAGACGCAGATGGACACGGCCCAAGAAACTCTGCTGTTGGTTTCATGAAATTCTGTCATGAGGTCCTGGAGGAAGATTCCAAAAGTCTTGATGATGCCGTAGGTGAAAACCTCCACAAAGAAGAAGGCAGCAGCCACCATCCAGCCCCAGCCTCCATCTGGCACCTCAGAGTACACATTGGGGCTCATGCAGCCCTTCAGGCTGGACATGATGGACACTGATGTTTCTGAAAATACGAGCAGAGCAAGAGAACAGAGAGTTTCAGATGCGATGCTGCAGTTCCACACTGGCTCTGAGGGTGTGCTTTTGTCAGCTCGACAGCAGGCTGCCCTTGTCTTTAATCTGCCCTGCCTGATGGATTATTTACTTTCAAGGTGTTGCATGTTCATAATGCATAAATGATTATGTAACTGCAGTTGGGACAGTAGAAATGTCAGAGCTAACTTTAGTCAAATTGAAAAATTTGAACATACAGTTGAAGTCAGAATTATTAGCCCCCCTATGAAGTTTTTTTAACTAATTTTTTCCCAAATGATGTTTAACAGAGCAAGGAAATTTTCACAGTATGTTTGATGACATTTTTTTCTTCTGGAGAAAGTCTAATTTGTTTTATTTCGGGTAGAATTAAAGCAGTTTTACGTTTTTTAAACACCATTTTAAGGACAAAATTATTAGCTCCTTTAAGCTATATACTTTTCCGATAGTCTACAGAACAAACCATCGTTATACCTGATCACCCTCACCTGCCTATTTACCCTATTTAACCTAGTTAAGCCTTTAAATGTCACTTTAAGATGTATAGACGTGTCTTTAAAAATATCTAGTCAAATATTATTTACCGTCATCATGGCAAAGATTAAATAAATCAGTTATTAGAAATGAATTATTAACACTGTGTTTAGAAATGTGTTGAAAAAAAAATCTCTCTCTGTTAAACAGGAATTGAGGGGGAAATAAACAAGGGGGCTATTAATTTAGGCGGGCTAAAAATTCTGACTTCAATTTTATATATTCATTCATTCATCTTCTTTTTGGCTTAGTCTCTTTATTAATCAGGGGTCGCCACAGTGGAATAAACCGGCAACTTACCCAGCATATGTTTTACACAGCAGATGCCCTTCCGGCTGCAACCCATCATTGGGAAACACTCATACACTCTCATCTCTCATTCACACACACACACACTCCGGACAATTTAGCCTACCCAATATACCTATACACACACACACACACACACATATATATATTTAGTGAGTACATATATATATATATATGTGTGTGTGTATATATATATATATATATATATATATATATATATATATATATATATATATATATATATAATTTATATACAGCACGTTTGCCTTACAGCAAGAAGGTCGCTATATATTTTTCTAAGTTTTTTTATTTACTAGTATGTGTTTGATGTTAATATTTTGGGTTAAATATTTATTTTATTCTATAAAAGTTAACTCTAAAAACTGGTTATTTCGACCCTTCAACCTCTGAGTAAATTTTCTGAACTGAATTTTATTTCCCTGTACAAACAGTTAAAACAGTTAAAGCCAATGTGGTCCAGTTGTTTAGAACAAAAAGGTGCTATGCACATTGTTTAAATTATCTTATTTTTTTGGTTCAACAGAGCAGCATGAGAAGGAGAAAAGTATCTGGGATACTTGACACTGGTATTGTTCATAACTTAAAGCCTATATAATTATGGTACATTTGTAGTTGACGTTAACTACCTTCACATAAAGAGTATGAAGACTTGACACTAGCATTGTTCGGACAATGACCGGAGACAGTTTTATCAGTCCACAGACTCGCTGTCGCAAGACTGTGACGTCTAAACCACATCTGAACATTTGCCGGTACAGCCAACGCGCTCTATATTTGAAGTCCATCATAGTTACTGTACGCAAAAGCGACTTAAATACCAGAGAAGAGTAAACTACCGTCACACACACTCTAGGATAATGTTTATATTTTTTAATAACTTAAACAAACATATAACGTGACATGACTAACGTTACAGCGTGCATTATCAAAAAGTTCAAATATAATATAACGTTATTTTGAGAAGATAAACTGTTTAACTTACCGAACCGTTGAAGAAGAATTGACAACGAGTTATTGAAAGAAAACAAAAGCCAACAGCGCTGGCTGTCTTCTGTGTTGAAGTGTCAAGTAGAGTACAAGTACATCACTTCTGCTTTCTGCATCCGCGGTCACGAGAGAGCGTGAGTCTTCACCGAGTCACGGGCAAAGGATCCCGTTCAAAAATATATCGCTACCTAGTTTATGTTTGACTTCATTAACAATTCATTAATACCGATATTGAAGCTGGATCACGTATTATCCAGCAGCTCTCTCTATTGGTTTCCTTTCACTGAAGCTTGGCAGATTTTACACCGGCTGAAGCCGGTATTTGAGCGCGGGCGCGAGAGCTGTCTGCTGTTGTAGTCGTGCACGCGCACTCCACTTCTCAAATCTCACCTGTGTTTGAACAGAAAACATTCACTCACCTACAGATAATATGTATGAAGAATCAACATATCACAGCACCGAGTCATATAATTTAGCTGCGATATCATTGACCGTATTATGAAAACCATTATTTCTAAACGAGTTTTAGTGATGAACAACAGCAGTTTTTTTTATGAGCTACAGTGGAGAAAACATCGGATTTTAAAAAAATTGACAATCATCACAAGACGTGTTCTTTAACAACTAAAAGCACGAGTGTGCGTGCGCGCGCCTGCAAAAGCTGTGGGTGAAGCAAATCTCGTGCACGTGAAGCATGATGGGAACCTACCGGGTAAAACAGGTTTATTCCAGTTCTCTCTCTAACACACGGTGTCTTATAAGATTGTACACTCAGAGCGTGGACACCATGTAAACACATATAAAAATAGCATGATCATTTATTAACACATTTTAGAGAAAATCCCTAAACTATTTTGTTTTAGTTATATTTTTAATGTTGTCGACTCTGACGTCACGTGTCCCCTCTTTTATCACAGACGTGACTCAGCGGCAGCAGAGCTAGTACAGGGAAAAAGCTAAATGTTTATTTTTACTGTTAAATTTATTTATTTATTGTACTGTTGTTATTATTTACTTTCTATCAGCCTGGCATTATATTGTTTGCTCTATTGTCATGTATCAGTTGTTTAAAGTATAATAAAAATAAATGAATAAATAAGACCCTCTAGCGGTGATAATGCAAACGTTGAGTTCCTAATGTAAATCCACAAACCACACCGCCATCTCCACATTTAAAACTGGCTTACTGGTGTTACGAATGAGAAACTGATAACTGTAGGAACAGTTGAGTGAGCACTTTCTTTTAAAGAGATAGCTTAGTTCCACACACATCTATTCGTGTGTTGTGCTGAATTACGAGCCTTTTTTGTATTAGCCTACTTCATTTATTTTACTGTAATTTATTTTTGCATAATAAATTATATCCATCATAGTTTAAGAAGTAATAGAAAAATTAACTCCACAAATCTAAAACCTGATTTGAGATGATCAGTGTCTCAAGATAAATAGCATATTTAGTAGTACTTTAGAAGTAATGAATGAAATAGGTAGTTAATACTCATTTCTCATCTTAATGTTTCATTTTCTAAATAATTCCAACCTCAGCCATATCCCCCTGCAGCTCAAGACCGGTTACTCACTGAAGCCAAGGAGGGCTGCGCCTGGACCTGCACCTGGATGGGAGACGATGAGAAAACTAAGTTGCTGTTAGAAGTTAGAAGTGTTAGAAGTGTTAGTGAGGCCAGCAGGGGGCGCTCAACCTTTGTCTTTGTTGGTCCAAATGTCCCAGTATAGTGAAGGGGACACTATACTGTCAGTGAGCGCCATCTTTTGGATGAGATGTTAAACTGAGTTTCTGTGGCTACATTAAAAATCCCATGGCACTTCTCCTAAAGAGTAGGGGTGTAACCCCGGTCTCCTGGCCAAATTCCCTCCATCAGCCCTCACCAATCATGGCCTCCCAATCATCCCCATACACTGAATTGATTCTATCACTGTCTCTCTACTCCATCAATAGCTGGTGTGTGGTGAGCGCACTGGCACTATTGTCCTGTGGCTGCCATCACATCACCCAAGTTGATGCTGCACACAGGTGGTAGTGTGGAGAGACCCCTACTCAAGATCGTGAAGCGCTTTGGGTGTATGTTTATACACAAGAAATGCGCAATTTAAATACACACATTACATTGAGTACAATAAGTTAAACAATGTTTTGATTTTCAAGAGGTCTTCTCAATCATTTCTCACTAGAAGTCAGCAGATTATCTATTTATGTCTAGGCCGTACAAAAGGCCTGTCCTTTATGGGGAGAGATAAGTAACAAGCTGTTACGCAAGAATGGCTTGCGTCATAAGTCCAGAGAGGCGAACAAAACAAAGTGTATGTAAGATTTCTTAACTGATGAAGATAAACACAAAACAGTCAGTCTAATCCTTTTTAATGGACACACAATAAAATAGCTATAAAAGACAGAAGAAAATCAGTCTGTTGGTATCATTAATGTTTTATGGTAGACATTAAACGCAGTATCATTTTCTTTCATTGACTTCCATAGTAGGATGAAATGTGTGGATATCAGTGGCTGCTGTCAACTGCCTGCCTGCCTGTTTTTGAGCACACATCTTTTTTGTGTTTATTTTCATTTATTTATTTGCCATGGATATCAAAATTACACTGGACAACCAAATGCATTTGTTTAAGTGTTTTAACAGACTTGCTGATTCTTGACCCCTGTCAACAGGAGGCTTGACAAAATTGGGAAAATAATAAAAACATATACACAACATTATAATTCTTCACATAAAATTGCTGTAAAGTAAAAGCAAAGGCGACATGATCCAACAACCTAACAGTAGACCATTTGTGCAAACACTGCTGTTTAGTTTGTAACCACTTCTTAAGAACACTACTAAAAATATTTATATTACTTTCTGATTTAAGGCTAACAGGTAAATCATTCCACAGTTTGGCTCCCTTTACAGAGAAGACAGATTGACCAGATGCCCGTGTGACTCTGTAAGAGGTTTCATGTTGACTCATTAGATCAGAAAAAAAGATTGGAACATGATTTTATTTAAACATTTAAAAAACAATTTAAGATGATTAGATTTAATAAAACTATCAAAACTAAAAAGCTCTTGCTGGATTAAGGGAAACTTAGGAGTGAGTAAATATAATTTTGTGGTGTGCGGTATTCAGCCCTATTATCAGTTAACCTATATATGGCACTGGACCACAAAACAGTCTTATGGGTCAGTTTTATAGATTTTTCTTTTAAGCCATATCATTAGAATATCATCTAAAATCATTTAGTAATTTCCTACTGTAAATATAAAAAAAACAAATTTTTTGATAAGCATCGCTAACTTAACTTGCACAACTTTAAAGGTGATTTTCTTAATATTTAGATATTTTGAACCATTATTCTAGATTTTCAAATAGGTGTATATCCCTTGTGTGCTGTTGGGGATATTTTCACCCACCCCAGGGTGATTTTGAGTCCTAATTTGGCCATGATGTTTTCTGTGTTTCAGCTAGTGGGATCATTTTGGTGACAAATCTTATTTTCAGAAAATGCTTTGAAATAAAAAAAAAAGCAGCGATACACTCTGGGCAAATGTACTCCCTTTTGTTATGTTAAAGATGAAAACATCAACCCTGTTAATCAACCTCAGTCCTGATCAAAGCTACTAAATGTTTTAGAAAATTACAGGATTTTAACTCTTTAATTGCCAAATTCATAAATGATGTAGATGAAAACAAACAAGATGACATATTTTTAATATGAAAAGTTATTGTGAACTGGATTTCTTTTTTCCTTCTATCAAAGTCTTGGACATGTGAAAGGACATTGACTTTGATGCAACGTTTTTGATTAATTTAACCTTTTTCTCTCTAATTTATTGTTGATGGCTGTTTTTGCCCTATTCACTTCCATTATAACCAGATGTTTTGATGACACCAAATAATCATGCATTTTGGATTGTTGGTGGTTTTCCCTGTTGTGAAGAGGCCAAATTTGTCATTTTTACTGTTGATCATCAGATGATATCATTAACCCTTTAGTTAGGCCTGTGCAGAAAAAGCTTAGTTTCGGGATTTTATATAGAGTATAACAGCAAATTAAAGTGTCTGATTGTGTCTGTGAGTGTGTAAGAATGACCTTTGTGCACTTAGCTTGATGCGTCTGAGAAAATCTAAATATACATCTCAGCTCTCACAACTACATGGAGTAAATAAAAAACAAAGACTGAGTATTTATCATCAAATGTGGTTATAATGAAAGTCAATAGGGCAAAAACAGCCGCCAACAGTAAATTAGGGAGAAAAAATGAAAATCCAGCCATGCATCAAAGCCAATGTTGTTACTAATCGTTCACTTGTCCAAGACTGTGATAAAAGGTAAAAGACATCCAGTCCATAATTACGTTTATACTGAAAACATGTCATTTTGTGGGTGGTTTTTTCACCAAATCAGTGACATCATTTATGAACTTGGCAATTAAAGAGTTAAATTATGTAAATTTTCTAAATAATTTAGTAGTTTTATCAGTACTGAGGTTGATTTATGCATATATATGATGCATTTTCACAGCAGTTTAATTCAGTGGATGTCTTCATCCCGAACATAACAAAAGGGTTGTACATTTGATCAGTGCACAATTAAAGGATATCTGCCAAATATTACTGTCCTAACAAAGTATCAATGGAAAACAGGGGCGTTGCAAGAGTCAAAAGGGATGAGGGGCTCAATTTACGTTTTTCTGACTAATTTGATCGTTAAGTTATTTTAGTTCACCAAAACTACACACACTTTATACTGTGAAAACAAATATTTTGCTTCATTAGTAGTTAAAACTATTGAGTTTGGCGAGACAGCATCAGCTCTTTAAAATAATGAATGAATTATGATGACGGGGTTTTTTTAACACCATGTGACAACAGTGCCACTCCCACCTGCCGGTAGAAACAGGTACTGCTGAGTAGCTGACTACTTAATTACATGACAAACGTGGAGTGCGTAATGTATGTGCTATTTTAAGGACTTCGATAACAAAACTGAAATATATTTTGACACATTTTGTGCTTTATCCTTCTTGAATATTTTATATTTGTATCATCTGATATTAAGATGTTAAGAAAATTGCTAAATCATTACAAAAAAATGAAACCTAGATGATTGCAGATATTACAGTCTAATGTTGGTATGTCTCTCCTTTTTATTTATTTATTTATTTATTTATTCATTTTTCTAGAACACTTGGCAGGATAAAAAATGATCAACAAGTTGTTGTCGTGTGCTGGATTGAACCATAACAAGACATTCATATGATGATTACATGCAGACTAGGAGTGTCTGGTTAAAATATAGCAGTGTCCCGACAGACCTCAACAAACAAGGTTACAGTGCAACTGCTCTAAATGAACTGCTGACGGTCATGGCATTGCTACTTTACTCGGTGTGAAGGCAAGCGTGAAAGTAAAGCACTGAGTTAAATACATGACCATTAAACACAGAGGATTCATTGATTATGAGCAGAGAAATAATGAATTACTTTCTTATGTTCAATTTGG